TCGAAAAAGACGCATCTCGCGATCAAAGAGATATGTACGTCAAGCAACACGCTTAATACCTCTTAATGCCGTATATAATAGGAGCTCGCACACGAAGCCTCTATAGCAAAACACAAAAGCGCTCCGAGTTTAGAGGAGTTGAGATAGAGAGAGAAGAGAGCAAGTCACGCGTAAGTTTCGCGCGCGCGCGCGAGGCTAGAGCCTAGATACGTAGTTCATTTGTAAGCTAGAGGCGCAAGTTTAAAGCTCTTCCGTTGCCGACACCAAAGTGGAGATTACGTATGCTCCACGTTAGTTTACTTAATGCACTCGTGTACCACGTATATTATACATGAGAGGGATTAAGTAGGCACGCGCGAGTTTGCGCCTAATTCGAGCCGCAGAGAGAGCTCGGGACCTCACACGCGGATAAAAGCTCGCCTCGCGTTCGTGGGCCCGTTCGGAGTGAGATTGATATACACGACACGCACGTATCCGCGATTAGAGAGAGAGAGAGAGACGAGTTATTTCAGCTATTTTCGAACAAATTGTTCAAAGCAGTATGTAGCAGTAGTTGATACTCCGATCGAGTTTTCACGCGCGTTGATTGCCGATGCGGACGGGTATATACGAACGGACGGAGACGATTTACAAAACACAAAACGCACCGTAAAAAAAAGAAGAAGAAGTGTGTTGTCCCCGCGAGCGCCTCGATGCGTGTCGAGTCACGTACTACACGCATAGCGCGAATATGTAGGCCACGAAGCGTCGCAGCAGCAGCAGCAGCACACCTTCGTCGTAGACCACACGACTGAGAAGAGACGTTTTACTCGCGCGACGACTGGACTTCGTACGCACGTGTGTACGTATACGATCTTGTAAAACAGCCTATATACACGCCTTCATATATATGTAACAAATAAGTAGTAGTGCGTGTCCGAGCACATTCCCCCGATTGCCCGTGTCTTCGTGTTGGCTCGCAGCTTCTTCTTCTTTTTTTGTATATAGTTGTTATCTTTTCCTCGTCTCTCTGTAACGCGCACAGACGCACACACACACACACACGTGAAATTACTCGTCGACCGATGTGCAGTGACGACGATCGCACGTATATGTTATATACATATAAGTGTGAGCTTTTCCTTTTGCGGCGACTCATCGCGTACACTCAATTTCTCAAAGTCAAAATTGACGACATCACCTCGACTGATCTCTCGGTTGTTGTGTGTGTATATAATACAGAAGGAGACGAGGCGATGAAAAGTCGCTTCGGTGTATCTTATATATATGGGCAATCGACGAGAAAATGATGTTTTTCGCTCGTGTTTAGCGCGTCGAGTCATTAATTTTCAATAATAAAAAATTAAATACTTCCAGATTAGGAATCTGGTAGAAATGCTCGACACTTTGTGGCTATAGTTAATCAGGCCGATAGAACAGAGTATATTAACGAAAACTGAGTAGATGAAACACAGCTTACACACACCTGAGGCACTTGGACTTAAATACAAATATTTGGACTTTACCACTTGCAGATTTACAGATAACGGTCCACTCGTCACCTAGCGGTGAAAGCTCAAAGTGGCATTATCGTATTCAAAGCGATTGGAAACTGGTTCAAATTTTGTGAAAACGATTAAATTGTCATTTTAAGCTCATTTAAAATGCGCTCGATATTTTTAACACGAGCGCAACAAAATGCTTAAAAATCGAATCAATGCGATAATGTATTGTAAAACATTGCAAATTATCACGTTTTCATCCCTGAGACATAATTAATACCAAGCGTATTTCAATCGGTAAAAATTGTAATGACAATTTTTCATATACATCTTTTGGAAATTGTATGAATTAAGCATCGTTTTCTGAAAATACTTAGATGTTCAAAACCCATTTGCGCCTAGATACTAAAATTTGAGAGGCTGAGGCGAACCTCCGACTCTCGTTATGTCTTTAATGTCGAATTTATGGCTCTCTTCGAGTTTTCGCCGAGACTATACAATCTCGAGATTCGATTCTCAGGGCAGGATCCGCACCTACATACACTTATACGTGTATCGATGTATATAAATACACATATACACAGCCGCTGGTGAGATCGGGCATCGGACATTCCCCGAGTCCTATACATATAGCTTGTGGGTTTTGCAATGCGCCGAAAGTCAGCAGCAGCAAGAAATGGACGACGCTCCGCACAAACGCGCGAGAGGAGTGCACACGTTGGGAGGAAAAAACGACTCGACTCGAGGGCTATACCTATATATATATATATAATACCTATTCAGGGGTCCTTCAGAATTTATTTCGATGATTGTCAAGGTCATTAGGGAGATGATTTATACACGGCGCGAGGCGCATCGGTGCTACTGTATATATATACCCTTGCGATCGTCGTCGGCACGATCGCTTTTGATGATCGCGCGACAGGCCTCTTAACTGTGGGAAAATTACGCGCGCTTGTCAAATTTACGCGGCGATTTCTGCGTCTGTGTGTCTCTCTCTCTCTAACTTTTTTCTGTCGTAAACGATCGGGGGTCGCTCTGGCCCTGCAATGATCCAAGTACACACACGCATAAAATCTGTATCGATTGTCGATCAACCTCTCTCTCGAGCGATATGCAAAACCTCGAATGCGATCTATACGTATACACATATTTTGGTTTCGCGAACTACCTCCTCTCCGTGTGCGTATATGCATCGACTTCGCAGCGATCCTTATAAGCTCTCGCGCGGGTACTCTACTGTCGTCGTCGTCGCGCGCGGTATGCTCGGCATTCGAGGCCCGCCGAGCGGCGCGCGGGGACACACACACCTGAGACCGTGCCGGACCCAATTCCCACACAGCGTTTATAATACGAGCGACGACGACGAGCGAGCGAGCGAGTCCGAATCGATGATAATACTCTGCACTCCCGGAGCCGCAGAGCTTCTACCTCTTTTTTTTTTACTTTTCTTTCTCTCTTTCTCTCTTTCTTTTTTTTTCTCCTTCCTTCGTTTCGATGTATGCGTTCGATAGTAGATGTATTTATACAAGTGCGATATCGTGAAAAACCGCGCAACGTCAAGCTACTGTATCGAAACTAGCTTACGAGTGTATCATTTAGATACAATAACGAATGAATTTTTTCATAGTCTTATTTTCTATATCCAATCCTTGCAATATGGTCAAATCTCAAAATAAAATTCCGTTTCGTTAACAAAAAAAGGTGAAATTTTTTTTGCGTGCCCAGCGGCCCTGACCCCTGCAAATTGTTCATAGGACCTCCAGAAGTGAAAAAAAACGCGTGAACATGAAATTTGAAAATAGTTAAATTTTTTTGGGGCACTTTTGTGTTTTAAACGCCGAAAAGTCATCTTTTCACGCAAATACGACTTATTACTCGATTACTAAGTCGTTGAAAAAGTATCAAAACTCATCTAAAAAAGTTAACTGACTACTGTATTCGATAGGAAATTTCCTCAGCTTTCCGATGGAACTATTCGATTTTCCAAAATATCCATTTTTCACCGCGAAAATCGCCATCAAACTTAGAGGGCTAAATATGTCGAAAAATTTAGTACGGAAAAAGTGTACTTTTTGGATTATTTTCGATTTTTCCTAGTAAAAATGAAATTTTTCGGAAAATCTAACTGCACCATGAGAAAGCTGAGGAAATTTCCTATCGAAAGCAGATCTTCATTTATTTTTTTAATACTAATTACGAGCGAATTTCGATTGTAGTGAGCCGTGCAACGCTAAAAACCTCAAGACCGCTCTGAAAACTGAAAACGGAGAACAGGGCAGTCAAAATACGTTTGTATAGGATTGTAATTCGGCTGTAAGCGCGTCCTAACCGAGAGAGCCGAGAGCCGAGCGCCAGAGATTACAAAGATGCGCGCTATATTATATACCAATTTTTGAATCCCGAATTATAGTGGGGCGATATTGGAAGAATACCCGAATTCGTCTAAGCTATCCCGTGACTAGTGCGTGGTATGATAACCCGTAAATTATATTATTCTTTTTATTAGCCCTTTTTTCGCACGTTCATTGTTATATTACTATGTCTACAGAAACGTCATATCGAGAAAGTCTTGGTCGAGAAACAGTGCAACGTACATACACCGTTCGGATAGTTAAGTTATACATTCAAACATCCGACTTCGTCCGCGCGAAGCAACGCTACACAAGCCGATCGCCATCTATCGGACGTTCGCATCTTCAGTCTCGATGTTCTGCTGCTGCTGCTGTCGTCAACGACGCGTCAAGTAGTATCAAGTAGTATATAGGGGGTGATCGATATCGCGGACAAACGCGGCTCGTCTCCCGCTCGACGCGTCGACGCTTACATATTATTCATTCAACGTCGCGCTTCCGATCGGAAACGATGTCGCGCACATTTGTGAAAGAAAGAAAGAAAGAAAGAAAGAAAGAAGAGGCACACACTCGTTGCAGTCCGAAGTGTCATCTCGTTATTAGTCGCTGCTTAACCGTGTACGTATATATAATAGGCGAGACAGCCGCAGAATTAATTGCCCGGCGCGCGACTTTTCTTCTTATTTTTTCAACGCCACGTGTGCGTGTGTGTGTGTGTGTGTGTGACGCGTATACAATTTTTTGGGGCTCCTGCTGCTGCAGTATATATATATGCATCGCGCACGCGATGGTGCTGCGATGCGCTAAACGGAAGTGTCGCTCTCGTGAAGCGAGCGAATATCGTAACGGGCCATCTGTTCCGTCGCCTGCAGCTCGCATCGAATGAGCTATAAAACAATCGATCCGAGTATATACGAGACGACGACGACGACGACATGGTCGTTTTGTGTCTCGCTCGCTCTCTTCGTTTTTATTATTTTATATGCGGGGGTCTCGTGCGAATTATACAAGATGAAAAATTTGAAAAATGCGCGCGCTGCGTAATGCAACTGATAATAAATTAAAGAATGCGAGAGAGTGAGAGAGGGCCAAGAATTATTTTTTATATGAAATAAGATCGTGTAAAGAAATGAGAGTACATAGTATATAAGTTCGAATAAATCACCTGATTGATATGCTGGCTTTCCATGCGATTGGTCTGCTGAGCGCGCGATGAGGTGGGTGTGATCGTTGTGGCGCTGTTCGTGTGTAAGAATGTCGTCTGTGGAGCGATCGTCGTCGTCGTCGTCGTCGGAGAAATTGGGCGCAAACAAAAAACGTAAAAAAAAACATATGAACAAATGTATAATCGATCGGATCGAGTACGTTTCATTGATTAATGTGTATAATTTGAGATTTTTTTTTAAATTTATTCATGTTAACAAACTATACATTATTATTATACTTTAAATGATAGAAAGAAAGAGTATACAAAAACCTCTTATAGTTATTCGAGTCCCGGACTCGGACTAAATTCTAACTATCTCTTGAGGTTGACAGAATAAATAAGTAATTGGTTGTTATAAGATCAATTATTTCAAAAAATTATATATATATTTGGTATTGTATTGACTTGAACTAAATACGAGAAAATAAAGGAAAAAAGAAGAGCGAAATGAATGTTGAATGAGTGATTGTTTAAATCGTAAATTCGAATAGCAATTTGTCTGGCAGTGCTTGTAAATAATATAAAGGAGAAAATTCATATTTTAAATTTATTTATTAAATTCATATTATAAATATTTTATACAATATTAAATAACATCAGACATAAAAAAACTGCAAATATTATGCATTTATCAGATTCGTATTAAAAATATACAACGTTAAATAACATCAGACATAAAAAAACTGCAAATTCATTTAAACATATTGCTATTACTATATGCTTATCGTTTGTAACTTGGATGATATAGGAAAAGGTGTATTCGAGTCTCTCTTTTTTTTCAATCCTTAGGCCATATTCATAATCTTTCAATATTATTTTCAACGTTATTTAATTACATCGGAAATGGAAAACGTTATAATGTGCCATAACTAAAAGCAATTTTACTTTTTTTTTTTTTTTTAATTTTTCAATGGATCAGATATTTTTATTATAATATATTATTACATCGATGGTGCCTACGAAAAAAAGTCCCTTTTTAAAACAGCATCATTTTAGTTGTTTAATATAAGAATTACCCCGCTTTTTCAGATCTAGTCATTACAAGTTTCTGGAAACGTTTGAATTACGAATTTAATGAGATAATTTCTTCGCTACAGGAATTCGTACACATTTAAAAAAGAGATAGTCTTTGTAAGCACCGTCGACGCATACAATCTTATTGATCGAAAGACGGCATACTCGCAGCCGCCAAGCAAATATTGCACAAATCTTGGTTCTTCAAATGGTCGACGATCATGTCGCAGCACTCGAGCGGCAGTCGATAATGTATCAGCTTCATGAAAGAGTCCGTGGCCCAACCGCGAAAAAATCCCCTCGACAGTTTCTCGCACAGATGCACGGCGCAGGGCCCGCCGTGTCTTACGCTGTTCCACTGGACGAATCTCCTGAACTCGTGGAGGGTGACCAACTTCGCCGCCTCTTTGGGTCCCGACTGGATCAGTTCGTAGAGCGTCAAGCCCGGCTTTACCATTAGCTCGATCGCTTTGTTCGCGAACTTCCGGTCGTTGCGCCAGAAATTTTCGATCGGCTCCGCCAACTCGACGATCAGCCCGTGCCTGACGAACAGTCTCATGATCAGCAGGGCTTCGTCGCGGTCCATGTCGTATCCGCTCTTCTCGAGACTCTCGACTACGGCCAGAATGTCGAACACCAGTTTGAATTTGGCGCCGAAATGAAGCTCTCGCGCAACGATTCTCGCACCGAAGTCGACGGGGAAAGCGAAGTTGGACGGATCAGCGCCCCGACTCAGCAGCAAATCGATCGTATCCGGTAAGATTCTCGCCACCGCCAATTTCAGCGGTGTTTTACCCAAATTGTCCACGGCGTCGACCTCCACTCGCTGTTCTCTCTCGTCGCAGATCCTGAAGAATATCTCCGCCATATCGTTGGTTTGTTCTACCTTGCAAATTACATGCAGCGGAGTCTCTCCGTTCGCCTTGGCCGCGTTGGGATCGGCGCCGCGTCTCAGCAGCAGCGCCGCAACTTCCATGTGCTCCCATTCCAGTGCCGAGTGCAGCGCCGTGTTGCCGTCTCGGTCGCGCGCGTCGAGCCGAACCCGCTGATCGTTCAACAGCCTCCACGCGAGGCCGATATATTGGCCGCCGCTGGCGATGTGCAGCGGTGTGCGTCCCTCGTTGTCGGCCAGACTAGGATCGGCTCCTCTCGCTAGCAGCAATTCGCACATGGCCAAGTTGTGGCCGCCGGCGTACGCCAAGTAGTGCAACGGAGTGTTTCCCCAGATGTCGCGCGAGTCGAGCGGCACTTGTACGCGTCTCTCGTCGCACATCCTGAATAACGTCTCGGCCATTTCGCCGTCTCGCGCCACCTTGCAAGCCACGTGCCAAATTGTCTCTCCGGCTTCGTTGACCGCAGTCGAATCCGCACCTCTGCTCAGCAGAAATTCGGCCATCGCGCCGCCGGTGCCGTAGCTCAGAGCCACGTGCAGCGGCGTGTTGCCCGCATTGTCCTGGGCGTCGAGCAGCACCGTACGGTTCCTCTTGCTCGCGATCCCGAAAAATGCCTCGGCCAAGTCGACGGCGGCGTTGCTGCAGTGGCAGATCGCGTGCAGCGGAGTCTCGCCCTCGGCGTTGGGCAGATTCGCGTCGGCGTCGCGTTGCAGCAGCCACGCGGCCGTCTTTCTGCGGCCGTTGCGCAGTGCCATGTGGAGCAGCGTGTCGTGCCGCGGGCCGCACTTGTCGCGGGTGTCGATCGGCCTCGGCTGACTCGACTTGTCGATTATCTCCATGACGATCTGCGTCAAGTCGCTGTCGGTGAACTTTTCGAACATTCGATAAAGAGCAGAATGAGAGTGGGTAAACTTTTTGCAACTCCGCGTGTACGGATCCGCGCCTCTCGTCAGAAGGAATTCGGTCACCCTTGCGTTGCCGTTGTCCACGGCTGCTTGCAGCAAGTCGTCGACGATCAGCGCTCGTTTTTTTTTGTCCACGTACATCATCGAATCCACGAACATCTTCTTCACCAAGTCGACGTTATCGTGGCGATCCTTGCAAACGATTTCCAGAGGAGTCTGTCCTTGCTCATTGATCAACGTCAGATCCGCTCCTCTTCTCAGTAGTAATTCGGCAATCTCTAAGTGTCCATGGACCAATGCCAAGTGCAACGGTGTATTACCCTCTTTGTCCAGGGCATCGATTCGCACGCGTGGATCAATTTCGCCGTCATCCTTGAAGAATATCTTGACCAAATCGATCTGTCCTTTGACGCAAAAATCATGCAGAAACAACGGCCAATCGGCCAAGTGTGGATCGGCGCCGTGTAACAGCAACAACTCGATCTGTCTCTGGTTGGGTTTTCTTTGCTTCGCGACCAATTGCAGGGGCGTGTATCCCGATTCGTCCCGAGCTTCGATCTGCACGGTCTGCCCGAGCTCGTCGACGGTATCGAAGAACACCTCCATCATTTTTTCGTTGCTCTTCCGGCAGATAGCGTGCAGAGGAGTCGCTCCTTTCGCGTTGGCCAGGTTCGGATCGACGCCGCTTCTCAGCAGCGCCTCGACGACATCTTCGTTCTCCCAATACCTGTGTCTCAGTGCCACGTGTAGCGTGGAATCGCCCGAGTCGGCGACGACGTACTTGGGATCGACGTGACCTAGCTCGAGAAATCGCTCGACGGGGTGCCTGAGCCCGTACTCGCAGGCCACGTCGAAGTGGCTGAGGCCGAACGAGTCGACGTAATTCACGTGGAATTTGTTGTAAATGTCAAAAAGATCCCCGACGATAAATTGCTGGCAATTCAGTCTCGCCGCGTAGTGCACCGCGGTGGCGCGACGAAGCACCGGCTTGCCGTTTCCGTCGACCTCGGGCTCGTCCCTGTAGCCGGACGACACCACAAAATTGATGAAAGATTTTCCCACGTCGCTACTGTATGCATGTATGGATGAATCCGCGCTTTTTACGGAAACCAAAAGAAGATGCTCGATATCTTTTTGCCCGAAAATTTCACGGAGATTTGGAAGCTGGCCCTTCCAATTCAAGTATAATCGCTCTAATCGATAAAGCAGTTCGGGCCCGTTTGTTTCAGTCTCGCTATAATTTAAATCTTCTCGTATGTCTTTCAAATTTTGCAATTGTCGTTGCAGTACAGCAGAATTATCCATTTTGCGCACTCGCTATTTCAACGCACGGCTCGATCGTTTATAATTTTAGATTCTCTCTCTACTTATAAAAAAGTGAAACGACCTCTGATTGGCTGACACTGACGACGACGCCCGACGCGAGCCGACTCGATACGAGCGCCTGCGCTGCTAACTGTCAACAGACAGTCAGTACTTGAGTAACCTCAAAATTCGAATGAAAGAATTGACGCGCGCGAAGCGCGTCTTAAATGTCTAGTATTTTAAAAATATCACACAGTCGACGCGCACTCGTTTATAAGTTCAGATACTTTAAATATCACTTGTATAACTGTTCACACGATGGGTGTCTCAACTCGTACTAACCACATAAAATGAAGAATAAAAAACATGTGCTCGATATTCTGTGAGACTACGTACGTCTATTATGGGCATGACATGGGTGGCCAAAGAGGTAAAATTTCATGTTTCAATCGTCTAATACCTAATTCAATTCAATGACTTCGACCTAACGAACGCAGAAATATAGAGAGAAAGAGAGAAATACGGAACGCTTCGGTACTTTCACTGATTTCTCCTGAGTTGACTTCGGTGCGCATACATTTTTAATTTTTATGACACTTTGTTGATGAAAATGAATTAATTGGATTAACATTTTTAAAAGTAATACAATTTTTATGTAAATTTTTAAAAAACTAATATTTCTTTATTAAAAAATTGTTATAATTTCATAAATATCAAAAGTAGTTCACTTTTCATTCATTTGCATTATAATTGATGATAATTTATGCATGTTCATGAAAGTTACTATAACTGATGCATACGAAATTTTAAAATATGCAATGAATTTGATGGCTATTTTTGGTAAAATTTAGTTCTTAAATTGATCGATTTAAATCTTATGTCTTATTTCGATTCCTTTATTTTTTTAATACACTTGTCAACGCGTGTATCGGTGACA